CCCGCCACAGAACTGCAGGAGGCCCAGAGAAGAATGTGAAGAGAGCAACAGAGCAATAGTGGACACGCTTGCTGAGGTGGTCAGATGAGCTCACGCGGGTAGAGCAAAGTTACTAGTTATGGGCGATTTCAATCACAGAGGGACTGAGTGGGAAAACCTGGAGCCTCATGGGGGTCCCGAAACTTTGAGAGCCAAGGTGATGGAGGTGGTACTGGAAAACCTCATGCATCAACATGTTAGGAACACTACCAGATAGAGAGGGTAGGACGAACCTGCAAGACTGGACCTCGTGTTCACCCTGAGTAGCTCGGATATTGAGGACATCATATATGAAAGGCCCCTTGGAGCTAGCGATCACGTGGTTCTAAGCTTTGAATACATAGCAGATTTATAAGTGGAGAGGACAACAGGAGCCGGATGGGAAAAGCCAGAGTAAAAAAGCTGGGACTACACAGGTATTACCTGGAGTTTACCTGGAGGGGGTTTCGGGGTCAATGCCCCTGAGGCTCAATCTGAGACCAGGCCTCGTGGTGGATCAGGGTCTGATCAACGAGGCTGTTACTGCTGGTCGCAAGGAAAATGATGTACGAGCCACAGCCCGGTTGGTCGGGTACTGACTTTAGGTGCCTGTCCAGTGCCTTCTTGAAGACAGTCAGTGGCTTTTGTGGCTCGGTTACCAGCTGGTTAATAGTGAAAGGGCATCAGTGATTACTTAATGATGACAGTGAGAAAAAATGGCAGATAATGTCTTTGTCAGGAGAGGAACTTCCTACAAGAGGTTCTATGGGAAAGAGAATTGATAGGAAAGTCAGTAAACGAAATGATGGACTACGTAACAACAAAATGCAAGGAGGCAGAGGAAAGGTTTGTTTCCAAGGGCAACATAAATAATGGGAAGACCAGAACGAGCCCTTGGTTTACCCGACGGTGTAGGGAGGCAAAAACTAAGTGCATTAGAGAATGGAAGAAGTATAGAAGACAAAGGACCCAGGAAAATAAAGAGATTAGTAGACGAGCCAGAAACGAGTATGCACAGAAAAGGAGGGAGGCCAAGCGACATTATGAAAACGATATAGCATGGAAAGTCAATTCTGATCCGAAGCTTTTGTATAGCCACATCAGGAGGAAAACAACAATCATAAAAATGGATGAAAGTGTGCAAGTGACAAGCCAAAGAAAACGTCACCAACATTTCTCAAGTTTCTTTACTAATGAAAAATGTATCAGGCCTGTTTGATGTAATTGGAATTGCATGCAATCGCGATGCGTGGAGACTCTTCACTGACAGCTCCTCCAGACGCGTAAAAGCTGTACTTCTGCACTTCTGTACTTGGCTCATTCAGTGTATCTTAAGGAGGACTACAGCAGTGTTAACTTCTACTGGAAGCTTTGAACTATGATGCGTATGGCTGGGAGGTTATTTGAGACTTCACAATGGTGGCATTTTTGATAGGACTCTAAGGAGGTTTTATCAAGTTTCCCTGTTATCTCTGCCACTGGGATAGTAGTGGCACAGCAGCACATTACCAGAGGAAGCACTGGCCTCAAAGGACTGAGTTCTCAGTAAGAAGACATTATTTCAAACATAAGCCATTGGTGGATCCTCAAAAGGTTCTGCTCCCTCCATTACACATCAAACTAGGGCTAATGAAACAGTTTGTTACAGCTCTTGACAAAGAGTCTGCAGCCTTGAAGTATCTTAAAGACTTGTTTCCCAAGCTATCAGAGGCAAAGGTGAAGGTTGGCATCTTCATTGGACCACAAGTCAGGAAAATCATGGAGCGCTCAGAATTTCCAAAGAAGCTGACAGAGAAGGAAAAAGGAAGCCTGGGAGAGTTTTGTTGCTGTAGCACAGGGCTTTCTGGGCAACAACAAGGCTGACAATTATGTGAAGCTTGTTGAGATATTAGTAAAAAGTTATGGTCAGAAGGGCAGTAGGATGTCCCTTAAGGTCCATATCCTTGATGCTCATCTTGACAACTTCAATGAGAATATGGGAGCATACTCAGAGGAGCAAGGGGAACGCTTCCACCAAGATATAATGGATTTTGAACACAGATATCGGGGATATTATAATGAAAACATGATGGGAGACTACATTTGGTGGCTTAAACGGGAAAGTGACTTATTGCATGATTGGAATTCTAGAAAAACTGCTCATTTTTAACTTTGTAAATATGTTTCAGAAAGTTTAAAATAAAATTTGTGTAAATTTTATTTTATTTATGTTAATTTTATTTATTTTATTATATATTTTTGTTTTACATCCAAAACTAGCAAGAAAACATTGAAATTTAGCCATTTTTTGTCAAAAATTCATCCAGTAAGCCACAAAAATAAAGTTTAAAAGGAATAATTAGCATTTTCTATGGTTTTGCAATTAAAGGAGTTATTAAATGTTAACCAAAACTATTAATTTTATATAAGGATGACTTACAATTTTTCCTAAAACTTTAGTTGATTGCATTTAACAAATGTTCAGTGAAAACAACCGCACTACATAAACTCTAAATTACTAAACAACTAACAAAAATAACCTTTGCAATTTTGAAGTTATTTTATGAAGATGTTAACTTGTCATTTTGTGTCATTTTTGTGTCCTTGATCTCTATGACCCATTCAGGTCATAGACATTATTATTATCATAGATTATTATTATTTTTAACCTCAGTATTAACATTATTAACAACAACATCAGCATTTGTTATTAGTATCACTAATACTTATAATAATAAAATTAGTAATAATAACAATATTATTATTGTTAATAATAATATTGTTATTATTAATTATTAATAATTAATAACATCCGACACTACAATAAATTTGCTCATAAACTTGGTTATTTACGTCTGAAATTTTATTTTACATTTTAGTATGAAAGATTTTAAGCAAAAAACTTTTTCTTTTAATAAGCTTAAGTAACAAAATTTGTGACTTAAAATATTAAGTAAACATTTGTGCGATAAAATGTTAAGTAAGCATTTGTGCGATAAAATGTTAAGTAAGCATTTGTGCGATAAAATGTTAAGTAAACATTTGTGCGACAAAATGTTAAGTAAACATTTGTGCGATAAAATGTTAAGTAAGCATTTGTGCGATAAAATGTTAAGTAAACATTTGTGCGATAAAATGTTAAGTAAACATTTGTGCGACAAAATGTTAAGTAAGCATTTGTGCGATAAAATGTTAAGTAAACATTTGTGCGATAAAATGTTAAGTAAACATTTGTGCGACAAAATGTTAAGTAAACATTTGTGCGATAAAATGTTAAGTAAGCATTTGTGCGATAAAATGTTAAGTAAACATTTGTGCGACAAAATGTTAAGTAAGCATTTGTGCGATAAAATGTTAAGTAAACATTTGTGCGATAAAATGTTAAGTAAACATTTGTGCGACAAAATGTTAAGTAAACATTTGTGCGATAAAATGTTAAGTAAGCATTTGTGCGATAAAATGTTAAGTAAACATTTGTGCGACAAAATGTTAAGTAAGCATTTGTGCGAAAAAAATGTTAAGTAAACATTTGTGCGATAAAATGTTAAGTAAACATTTGTGCGACAAAATGTTAAGTAAGCATTTGTGCGATAAAATGTTAAGTAAGCATTTGTGCGATAAAATGTTAAGTAAACATTTGTGCGACAAAATGTTAAGTAAGCATTTGTGCGATAAAATGTTAAGTAAACATTTGTGCGATAAAATGTTAAGTAAACATTTGTGCGACAAAATGTTAAGTAAGCATTTGTGCGATAAAATGTTAAGTAAACATTTGTGCGACAAAATGTTAAGTAAGCATTTGTGCGATAAAATGTTAAGTAAACATTTGTGCGATAAAATGTTAAGTAAACATTTGTGCGACAAAATGTTAAGTAAACATTTGTGCGATAAAATGTTAAGTAAGCATTTGTGCGATAAAATGTTAAGTAAACATTTGTGCGACAAAATGTTAAGTAAGCATTTGTGCGATAAAATGTTAAGTAAACATTTGTGCGATAAAATGTTAAGTAAACATTTGTGCGACAAAATGTTAAGTAAGCATTTGTGCGATAAAATGTTAAGTAAACATTTGTGCGACAAAATGTTAAGTAAGCATTTGTGCGATAAAATGTTAAGTAAACATTTGTGCGACAAAATGTTAAGTAAACATTTCATTTCAGCCACTTTGTTACATTCATTACATACTCAAAATAAAATTAAATTTCTATGGGACTTCATTACATATTAGAAAATGTCACTCTCTTGATTAATGTAATTAAAGTTTCATAAGCTTTATTTCCCTAACGTCATTGTTACACTGCTATAGTGTTATGTGGCTGGACTCAGGTTAATGTCACTATGTTTTGAAGCTATGTGGTTAAGAACACTAACACTTTACTAGTTTTATGTGACTCGTGTCAAGTTAATATCACCGAAGTACAACTGTTATATGGCTGGTGTTAGGTTAAGATCACTGTAGCACTGGTGTTATGTGGCTGGTGTTAGATTAAGATCACTGTAGCACTGGTGTTACGTGGCTGGTGTTACGTTAAGATCACTGTAGCACTGGTGTTATGTGGCTGGTGTTAGGTTAAGATCACTGTAGCACTGGTGTTATGTGGCTGGTGTTAGATTAAGATCACTGTAGCACTGGTGTTATGTGGTTGGTGTTAGGTTAAGATCACTGTAGCACTGGTGTTATGTGGCTGGTGTTAGGATAAGATCACTGTAGCACTGGTGTTATGTGGCTGGTGTTAGGTTAAGATCACTGTAGCACTGGTGTTATGTGGCTGGTGTTAGGTTAAGATCGCTGTAGCACTGGTGTTATGTGGCTGGTGTTAGGTTAAGATCACTGTAGCACTGGTGTTATGTGGCTGGTATTAGGTTAAGATCACAGTAGCATTGGTGTTATGTGGCTGGTGTTAGGTTAAGATCACTGTAGCACTGGTGTTATGTGGCTGGTTGTTAGGTTAAGATCGCTGTAGCACTGGTGTTATATGCTGGTGTTAAGATCGCTGTAGCAC